AAGTGAAATAAGTCAAGCAGAGAAAGTCAATTATCATATGCTTCCACTTATTTGTGGAACATAAGGAATAGCATGGGGGACATTAGGAGAAGGAAGGGAAAAATGAAGGGAGAGAAATCGGAGGGGGAGACGAACCATGAGAGACTATGGACTCTGGGAAGCAAACTGAGGGTTTTAGAGGGGAGGGGGGGTGGAGAGATGGGTTAGCCTGTGATGGGCATTAAGGAGGGCATGTACTGCATGGAGCACTGGGTGTTATATGAAAACAATGAATCTTGGATCACCACATCAAAAACTAATTATGTATTGTATGGTGACTGACATAATAATAATTAAAAAAGCCAGTCTGATTCACCACATAGTTTTCAGCAAACTTAACGGGCTGAGCGCTTTATACTACACTACATTAGGGGTTATCAACCAGCCTACTGAGGTGGGTACCCTTATGATTGGTATCTTAATCCACCGTACCAGTCAGGGCCCAGTTCAAACCTGAGACACAGTAATTTGAACAGGCTAAGTGTGGTATAGAGAACGAGTACCCAGTCACAGGGGATTAATTACTAAGGGTAAAGAGAACTCAATACAGCAATAGTGGCTGTAGGAGCAGTCATTGTGTCTACGGCTGAGGCAAGTGCCCCCAAGTAAGGAACACATCTGGGACAGGTTCCTTGGCAAGACTGAGTCAGGGCGCCTGGGTGGCTCAGTCATTAAGCGTCTGTCTTTGGCTCAGGTCATGATCCCAGGGTCCTGGGATCGAGCCCCACATCGGGCTCCCTCCTCAGCGGGAAGCCTGCTCTCCCTCTCCCACTCCCGCTGCTTGTGTTCCTGCTCTCGCTATCTCTGTCTCTGTCAAAGAAATAAATAAAATCTTAAAAAAAAAAAAAAAGACTGAGAGTCAGACTGTTGGAGAGGGTGTGGATGTGACCCACTGTTTGCTACTGAAGCCCGGGGCTGGAGAGGAGAGGGTGTCAACAAAACTAGTTTGGAAGCAACCCACTGGGCTGCCAAAGAGCCTTGCTGGAAAGTTGCCTGAAGACTTGCTGGGAAGCTGGCAGGAGGACCAGTGCACTTGCTGGGAAGCATTCTCCCAGAAGGTGCCCCTGCCCCCCCCGGCCCCCCCCCCTACAGAAACAAGAAAAAAGAAAACACACCAGAACCAGGATGAGAAGCTCCTTTCTTCTGCAGCATCCCTCCAGTATCCTCTCCTGAGAAGTTGAATATTTTGCTAGCAGGCAAAAAGAAATGTTTGGAGGGCACAGCCCAAGCAACACAAAGCAGAACAAAGAGGGATTTGGGAACTGAGGATAAACTGATAAATGGCATGTCCACTATCAGTGGCAGTCCCTTCACAAGGCTCGGCATAACTCAACTTCCCAAAACAGGGATCAGGGAGAAGAGCATCATTCTAGAAGGAATGCTGACTGAACCAGTACCTGGACTGGCTGAATGAGCCCAGCACTTGAGAAATTTCACCTTTGGGTACTATTAAGGACACTGGTGACTTCAGAATTTCTAAATAGGAGAGAAGTAGAGCAGGCAAGAGGACTTTTCTTGCATTTGCTCAGCAAGCACTTTTTCTCTCACTTAGACTTGTATATTTACTGAGGATATTAGGAGGCCACGGCTGGTGGAATTGGCAGGGAGTGACTAAATCCAAGGACCCAATGAAATAATTCAGCTTCAGAATGGCCAGAACAAGCACGGACCAAGGAAAATTAGCTTTAGACTAGTGGATTTTAGGTATTTGCACATCAGGGAAGCTTAAGTGAAGATTTCCTTATGATGGCTTTTCTTTTCCTGATCTTTGTGATAAAAAAAAACAAACCCTCATGGTTTGTGTGTTATAAAATGCTTTAAGGTCAACTGCTCTATTTGAGCAAATAGAACTCAATTTTTGCAACATGTTGAAGACAACCTTCCCTATCCTGAATACATTCTACGTGTGCAATACATTATGGATCAAGACTATGTAAAAGAAATTTGACTATTAATGCTCTGAGAAACAATGGATTTTAAGTCGGCTACGTAACATTTTTCAGTTTTTATTCACTGTCATGCGTCCTACAGTAACACATGGTGATAGCCAGTGATCCTAAAATGAAAAATGCCACTTCAGTAGTATCTGTGAAGTGCTGTGATATCCCACAGGATGGAATTTCAAAAGAAATTTCGAAGAAATGTTTCCTTTTCCATAAAAACAAGCTCTCCCCATAATTAGATTAGTTGCTCAAGGCTGACTACAGCATTTCCATGATAGAATCAGATTAGGACCATAACTAAATTTTAAGTCCATTCATTGGCCAGGGACGCCTGGGTGGCTCAGTTGGTTAAGCATCTGCCTTCGGCTCAGGTCATGATCCCAGGGTCCTGGAACCGAGTCCTGCATCGGGCTCCTGCTCAGGGGGGAGCCTGCTTCTCCCTCTGCCCCTCCTCCCTGCTCATGCACTCTCTCAAAAATAAAATCTTTAAAATAAAATAAAGTCCATTAGTTGGCCACTATAACCAGTGAGAACCGGCCAACTAATCAGTTGTATAATCCAGGTTGCACCCTGGAATCAGTTGAAAAATGTATAAACTGCCTGTCTGGGCCTCATCTTTGCCCAAACTAAAAACTATGTTCATAAAGGACAACTCTTTTGAGGAAGATAATTGAGTACCATTAAGCTTTTATCCCCATTTCACCTTTTAAGCAAAAAACCAATAACCAAAAACCACCCAAAAGCTATTGCCTTTGGTACTCTCAGGAGTTCATTCCCTACTACTGTTCACCTAATCAGAGCTTTAAAAAAAAAAGTAAACAGCACAAAAGCCCTACGGCAGTTTAGCTCTTTTGAAATTGCATGCAAGTTTTAGAGTACTTTTATTTTTCCAGACATGATTTGTAGCTTTCATTAGATTCCTAAAAAGAAGCCCATAACTCAAAGGTTAAAAACCACTGCCTCAGAGGAACTAAGGCACTAAACCCAACAAACAGATTATAAATTGGGCATTAAAATGAAGATTTTATGGGTGCCTGGGTGGCTCAGTCGTTAATTATCTGCCTTCGGCCCAGGTCATGATCCCAGGGTCCTGCGATCGAGCCCCGCATCGGGCTCCCTGCTCAGCGGGGAGCCTGCTTCTCCCTCTCCCCCCTGCTTGTGTTCCCTCTCTCGCTGTGTCTGTCTCTGTCAAATAAATAAATAAAATCTTTAAAAAAAAATGAAGATTTTATATTAAAATTTCAAGACTGATAATATACTAGCCCATGTATAGTATTTAACTGCAAATGGAACATTAGAAAACGGATGAAAGATATTAATACACGAAAAGGTGGCCATTTCAGTAAGCCGAGAACAAACATTGGATGGAGGCTGCTATTTGTAACATTCTATCAAAAGCTTTTCAAGTTTGCTCATGTTGTAAGAAATAATTGAGAGGTCTTTTGCAGCCACTTGTTTTCCCAGTCTTTCAGGAAGCCACTCTCCAAATTAAACCATGCATATATTTGGCAACAATTAGTACTATTAACATGTTCTACTACTTATCAAAATGTTCAAGAGCAAACAACATTAAAAATCATAAATCAAATACAGCCTATGACAGTACTTTCATCTAAATTCTTTCCACACTTTACCTAAAATACAGTTAAATTAACATTTTGGGTTGAACTATATTCAGGAGTAGCACCATAATTTAGGTATGCTAAAAATATTTTCAATGTAAGATTAATCTTTCATTACTTGAAAATACTTTTCTATGTCTAGTGTCAATTCACTTGATGCTCAAATAAAAGGCAAGATGACTGATCTACTTATTAAAAAAAAAAAGCATAGCATTTTTTCAGAGAGGAATTCCTTCATTTAATGAGATTTTTCTGGAGTTAGGTAGGTACAAATGTTAAGCCCACATATGAAGGACTCTTCCAAATATACTTGTCTGCCCCATTTAACACTTTTGCAAGGTGGCTTCCGAGTGCCCATCACGCTGGCCAATATAAACAGTGAGATAAAACATGTTAATATGGTATACACTGGAACACTCACTTTTAGTCTTGGCACTGACTGAACACATCACCTTGCACCTCAATTTCTTGTTCTAAAAAAAATTGGATGAGTTATCTTATAAAACTTCAAGTCCAAATTTTAAATGATTCTAATATGTAATCCAAGTGCAAAGAATCTCAATAAGCACCTTTGATGTGAAAACCAAGTGATCACCCAATCGAAAGAACAACCTAATGACACACAGAACACCCACTGACAAAGGGAACTGCCAATATTAAGAACTCTAGTAAGGATTATTGACTATCACCTATGTCCAATTCTAGTCTACACATTTAAAATTCACTTGTTATCTGGCCACTGAGATATCCATCCCTCTACACAAAGTGACTCTAACACTGTACCAATTTCCACAATAAAAATACTTTAAAAAATGCTGACAAATGGGGGAAAAGCCAACACCCAGAATAAAGGATTTAATCCAGTATTTATTCCACACTCATGATCGTTCTCTGTAATCAGAATACAAGTCATAAGAACAATCTATCAAATAATTTGTTGATAATCTTAAATAATGCAGCGCATTACTTTTAATACTTCTCTGTTCTAGATTAAGTTTAAAAACACAAACAGCAATCTTCATTATCAATAAAAAAAGTTTTGAATTTTAAAAAAAGGACACTATATCAAGCTGTCTCATAATTTAAGTTTTTTCCATTTATAAAAATGCTTTGGAAGCTTGAGGCTTGAATCTATTTCTCTACTCATCTGCCCCACCCTCTCCCAATTTCACGTTAGTATAGGGTTGCTGCAAGAATGCTAGGCTTTAGACATTAATTTTTTCCTTTAATATAGTACTTTAAAATCTGAGAAATTCAAGAAAAAAAGATTACAGGTCATGTATTTTTTCAAATAAAAAAGGAAAACTAAGTGAATAAATTTTAGGCATACTAACAGCGTCCCTTTGAGGTAGAATGCTAAAAGGACTTTTGATCAAATCACAGCCTAATTGAAACCTCTGCATCAGAAACTAACTTGTCATGAATCTCTCTAAAGTTAACTGTGGAGAATATTAAGTGTAACACATTCACAAGAGCCTTCCAAGATAATATACAGTGGACATTCAGAATGTTAATCCTACAACCGCTGCCTTCATGTACACTGAAAGCACAAAATTCTCCTATAATAGACATCCAAGATCCGTTCTCAAAGTCTTTAGCATTCTATTATGAAAAGCACATCCATGCTAACTTCAGTACACAAACCATAATCCCACACCTACAAAACAAAAATAAAATTAGTGGCAGTTTATTGCCTTATACAAATTTAACCAACATGGCAACCATGCCAAAGGAATTAAAACATTTTCAGGACGTATGTACAGACTGTACATCTCAAAAACAATTAAACAATAAAAATGCAAGAACAATCTGTGCATCATGTATCAAACTCAACAATTGGGTGAAAACATCAATGCAATAACTGGGATTACAAAGGCACTTCCCTACACAAAAGAGGAAATGAAAACGCAGCCTACAGGGAGCTTGAAGTGTGTGTAACTACTGCACAATCTCAACTTGGGAGGAAGAAAAAGAAAGCAGATTTAATCAAACATTTATAGGATTCAATGTGATCCACTTTTACAAAAAAAATTTCACACAGTCTCATCTTTGTTTTTATGTTGTTTTTCTTGGCTCTCTGGTTCTATACTTTGGCTCCTTCGACGATCATGTTTGTCAGACTGGTCCTTACTATCACTGTGATCTCGTTTGTGGGAACGTTCTTTGCTTCTGCTACGCTTTCTAGACTTTTCTTTGCTGGGGCTATGTTCCCGTTTTCTTGATTTTTCAACACTGTCAGTTCTTCCTTGACTGCCACTTCTACTTCGTTTATTTGATTTTTCTTTACTTTCATTTTTATGTTTACTTGATTTCTCTTTGCTCCTGCTTCTGCTTCGTTTCCCTGCATTTCTACTTCTACTCCTACTTCTGTGTTTCCTTTCTCTGCTTCTACTCCTACTGTGTTTTTTCTCCTTCTTGGAATCTTTTTTGTCATCTCTATGCCGCCTATCATCTTTATCTTCTTTGTGTTTCTTCTCTTCTACCTCACCCCTACTTCTCCGTTCCTTGGACCGTTCTCTTGATCGCTCTCGCTCCTTTTCTCGGTCATTACCTCTTTCCTTATCATAGTCACGATCTCGTCTTCTACCTCTCTCATTTTCTTTCTCTCTTTCCCGATCCCTGTCCCTTCGATCCCCTTTCCTATCCCGACTTCGACTACGACTTCTATGCCTTTCCCTACTCCTGCTACTCCGCCTGCGTTCCAATCCCCGATCAATACTTCGGGATCTCCGCCTTTCTTTCTCCCTTTCTTTGGCTTCACGCTCTAGTCGCTGGCGTTCTTTCTCTCTTTCTAATTCTCGATCAAAACTAGAAGACCCATGGCCCTCCCGATGATGGCTTCTACTTCTTGATCTTCTTGGGGACCTCCGTGGACTCAGTGACCTCCTTGGAGACCTAATATTTAAGAAAGGAAGAAGAAAATGTCAACGAACAAAACATATCCTAAAAATTTAACTTTCACGTTATTTATTTAGATCCCCCACTTACACAGACATGTTAGGAACAATTAAAGGCCCTAAAAGGCATAAAATGACCTTCTGGGGTTGAAAGTGACAAACTCATAAAATGAACAGCATACACAGAATTTCCTGAGAATTTGCCACTGATTTCCAAGGACCTTTGTAAAAAGCCTATTTTTAAAGTAATTCCAAGAGGTACGTTACCTTGAACGCCTGCGTTCAACGTGTCTGTCTATTTCCTCAGCACCTTCCTTCCCATCTTTCTTGATTTTTCTAGGCCGGGTTTTAATCTGTTGATCAATATTCTTCTGAACTGGAACCGGAATTCTTGGAAACAGGGTAGAAAACCACTCCAGTTTTGTGAGAAAAGACCGTAGCATTTCTCCAATGGTCATTACACAGCCTCCACCAGCCTTCACATCTAGGTCCTACAAAAACACAAAAGATATCCTAGCCGTCAAAAAAAAAAAATTCAACATATACATGAATACTATAAAAATATTACCATCTTTGGAATCTCAAATACAAAAAAACTCTAACAAAAATTGTAATTTGTGTACCCTACTAATCTGGTAATGAATGATACAGAGAAATATTTGGGCTTAGTGTGTGCATGCAGGTGAGAACAAATCCTGCAGCCTCATGGGCATAAAAGAGCACTGATCTCACTCAGTTAAACAGGAATATGAAACAGCCCCTTACATTACTAAACTCTGTGGAACAATAAACTTAAATTAACATTCCACATACCTACTAAGTATGTATTTCTTTCTGTGGACACGTTTGCACACATCATTCCTAGCACTGTAGCCTAACTACGTATAAACTACTTCAGACAATCCTGTCTAAAGATTATCTTTTAACAGCTCTAATATAAAATGAAGCCCTAATAAAACTGGAAGCAATAGCAAACCAACTGCCATGAAGCAGTGAGGTTTCTAATTTAGAGTTATGTAGAAAATAAATAAATAAACAAATAATTGGAAACGCATAATCCATGATGACCATTGTCTCTGAAAAGGGTCATTACCGCATGAAGGCCTTCTTGCTATGCCCTCTCACAGCTCAGGACATGTTAGTCAGCTATTGTCAGTCCCAAACCTATAGTGCAAGCACACAAGGAAAGTGAGATTTGTTATCTAAACAGGAAAACAAGAGCTAAAGGTAAAACTGCTTGCACTCACACACATTTAAGTGTTCAGATATACAGTATTTCCAAATATAATCGCTGCAGATATCTAAGGAAGAAAACAATAAGTTAGCTTAAGTAGAGATCCTCAGGTTTGTAAATACAATAAAAAACAGATTAAATAGAAGCATTCAGAAACAAACCTAATACAATACCAATTATGAAGAGGGACATGCTTTTTAAATATAGAAGGGAGCAGTGCTTTGGCCTGAAAAATCTCATCTAAAAAGAAAAACAACTTTAAAGACTGTGCTTTATCACCTAATACATTTTTTTGCTTCTTCAGAAATATTAATTCAGTAAACAGCCCCTGCCAAAAAAACGCAGACAAAAATTTTCCATTTCTACAAGAGTGAGATGTTTTTAGATGTGCACATAATAAAAACACACCAGAAAGATCTCTATTAGAACTATCCTTTAATTCAACAAATTCTTTGGGATAAATGTTTTAAATGAGACTACTGAGGCATGGCACTCAGTTTACTTTATGAACCTTAAAATACAAAGTGGTGGGGGCATATGTATGGACAATACAGGTATGTATTAAGTACCTTTTGAGATCTTGGACTTTATTGTGTAAGCATATTAATACATATATGATTTAAATCTGACACAGCAATGTTTCTGAAAGTAACTTTTGTTTCCTGAACATATGTAACAAGCTCAACCTTGTTAAGCTTGAGTGGCAAACCAGATTTATAATTAAACAAAAAGGGGCACCCGGCTGCCTCAGTCTTAGAGTATGTGACTCTTGACCTTGGGACCATGGGTTCAAGCCCCCCACTGGGTGTAGAGGTCACTTTAAAAAAATTTTTTTTAATTAAGAAACAAGAACCTAAAGTGCTAATTTTAAGGTTTTCTTCGTATAACTTATTAGGAATCAGAAAGCTAGAATTTTGATCATTTTGAATAAATCCTCTAAACTCTCACCCTATTTAAAACCCACCCAGCTCTTCAATTTTGTACTTCTACGCAAGTGGGAGTATTAAAATGTGGAAAAAAGAGCGTGGAGAGCTGAGAAGTTCCAAAAGAATAAAGCGCTATAATTAGTACTGTATGCGCATGTCTTAACACCTCAATCTTGAGCATGGCCCACTTAAAAAGTCACTATCAACTTTACAAGTCAAGATCAATGCAATATACAAAACATAATTAGAAAGAAAAAAATTTCAATAGTTACCAAAACCATCTAAACAACTAAGAAATAAGAAACTTTAAGAAAGTTAACCTAAGATATATGAAATCCACTACGTCTTAGTAAAAGGACAGCAATTCCAAAAGTATGAGTGAATTTAACTACAGAAAATTCTGAAAAACATTAAACTTCCAATAAATAAAAGATATTAAAAACATGAGAGTAATCAGAAGAAAACTAATTATTACCCTTGTTGACATACCTCTTCATCATCAAGGAAGGATTCAAACCAGTCCCATAGATCTGTAGGGGGCTGTGTGTACCTAGAATTACAAAAGATCAATTAGCCTTATGTGATTTAAAATGATGGATTTAATGGAAATGTAGATAAATGCATGCTTACCTTATATACATAAATCCAAGGGCTCTAATATATGGAGAGTCTGTGTGTGTTATGAGACCCATCACTTGCTTGCGAGTTAGCTTCAAAGTAAATAATTTGTATAACAAGCAGAAAGCTGTAGAAACAATTCCTCCTGTTCCAACACCTCGAACCTTTAGGGGAAACAGGTAAGAAAAAGTAGTAAAATAACTAACAGATATTTAACACCAACTGATTAATCCTATTAGGTATTAATAACAAGATATAATCCAGAACTAAGAATGGAGCATTAATAAAACAGCAACTTTCTAACCCCATTCACCAGACACTTGAATTTAGATAAAAACAAAATAAAACAAACTTCTAAGCTTTGCCAACTGTCATTTGAGTAACTGTCACTTTTAGTTTCCTAATTTTAAACTTAGTTATCAGACACAGAAAAACTGAAAAATGCACGTACTTCTACTTACCCCTCCGCACATCCCCGTTTGGCCTGCTGTTTTCCTGCTTCCTTTCTCCCATGGTTCAACATGCGTGACCTGAAATAGAAAAGAGGAACACAACAAACATTCATACTTCGAATTTTTTAAAAAACTATGATTAAAGTAAACCCAAGTCCATAATAGAGCAGCTTCTTCCAAAAGTGTGGAAGCTGATTTTGACATGATGCATATATTGTGTTTACATACATTATGTAAACCATCTTTGAAAAAATGCTTAGCTTTTAAAAAGCACCAATAAAACTGCCAGAGTTTAACAAAACCTCAACAGTTTTATGAGCAGAAATCCCATTAAAATAGGCTTTGTAGAGAGCTGATACTGTGGAGCCAAGAGATTTCTAGGAGTCTCATATACTTGTAAAAAAAATTTGATATCAATTTTGTATCTTATTATGAGTCGTTAAAAAAATTCTCATTTTAAAATGTATTTAAGGCTCCAACTTGAAGCAAAAAGTATCAATGAAATTTTAGTATTTATTTCAAAAAAAATTTAATACCCTTAACTTTATGGTGATTTAAAATTCTACATCATAAAATAAAGAAAAATGACTTGAAGTATGTATGTTAAAACAGTAACAAGTTACTTCTAATGCAAAACTATGGAACTTTATCTGTACATTTTTTTTTTTTTACCATGAACAGGCATTATGTTCATTCCTGATTAGAGATGAAATTACAAGGGCCACACCTACACAGAACATTCTTGTTAGTAATTCATTTTCAGCCTAATTATGTGAACCAATTCAATTTTTCCCCAGAAAATAAACTGTTAAAAGTGTGTGAGTGTGACTAGTCATTATATTATGTTTAATCGATACAGTATCATCTTTGTTGAAGTGAGTACCCTATAAAAACCACATACTTTACCTAAAAACAGCAAAGAAAGAATTTTAGCTCGATAACATATAACTCAAGCTCTTTTAGAAAGATCTGTATTTAATTTAAAACAAAATCAAAATAAAATCCTGTTCTTTCAGTATGCATTTCTAAAACTGTATTTTTGCCCACCCATGGCTGCATTTTTATAGTCTGTGGCTTCAGACAGAAAAGCATGCATTTAAATGTAAGCACTACACTATTATGCTCAGCACTGCTTTACGGTTTCATTTCCTTCCCCCAGTTTGCTGTATGAAAGATGTTTCAATTCCTTAAAGGCTAGCCAAAGGGGCGGATGCAACACGAAATCAAAACTAGAAGCCTACATATTTCAACGATTATTTAATCTGGACATCTTGATAACAAAGCCTGGATCTTTAGTTTTATAACTAAATTTAAATAATTTCTAGTACAGTCTTAAATTGTTTCAAAACACAATATTTGAATTTGAAAACGAGCTTCTCCTCTATCACATTAACATCTGCCTGTATTATTAAACAGAACCTGCTACAAAAAAAGCAGGAACCCAATTTTCAATTGAAGTTTACTACACAAAGCTAAGAATATTCACCATACTGTATTCATGCTAAAAAAGGCCTTACCTTTTAACAACTAAAAAACCTAGTTCATAGTATTACACTTACAATATTCTTGTTAAAAGGATAACAAAATTTCAGTGTACTTTACATACCCAAAGTTGAACTGTATTCTCAAAATATGATTTTCTATCAAACAACAACTAGTATCTCAAAATCCTTCAATAACCTAATCGCTTAAGGGCGTGGGGTGGGGGGAGGACTGTGGACAAAATAGAACCTAAAAGCAAATAAAGAGAATTACCTCTTGCTAACACCTCTACAGGTATGTTCAGATCACAGAAAGTACTTTATGTGGTCTGTCAAATGTTTTGAGAGTCAAATACACAAAACAGATGGTATTTTGTTAGATGCTCTAACTAAAATATTTAAAGATCATTAAGACTGTTATTAATATTCCTTAAAACATTAATTAACCTTAAGAGGCCTGGAAGATATTTTTAAAACTACATAATTTGCAGGGAAGTGGAGAAAACCTATCTAGTTGGTGTAGAAAAGCCCAAAACCAATGGCCAAAAAATACCTAATTAGCCGTTCATTTAACCAGGGAAATGCATTTATGGCGATTGAGCATGATTAATAGTGCATACCTCTACCTGCGACCCTGGGCTGCTCCGAGCCTCGCTGCAAGACTGAGTCAATCCTGCTAACGAAACAAGAACTGAGACAAGAGTGCAGTGAGGAGGCGCCAGGTGAGCTCCCCAGCACAGCCAAGCCAGCACCGACCCTGCCGCAGAAGCCCAGGGCCCAGATAATTCTAAACAAGCCCAATGCACAAGTAACTGAGACCACTTACTCCTGACTTCCTGCTGGGAAAATTTCCAGGCCTTCTGTACACCTCTTGCCCTGGCACCTCTCCACCCTCAACCCTCCCACCCCCACCCGACACACGCACTGACCATTTCCCTGTCTGGATCGGATTGAGAATACCAACAACATGAGGCCAACATTGAAGTCAATGCACGCCCTGGCCCAGGGTGAGCGGGAGAAGCACCAACAAGTTGGCGCTCAGTAGATCCACGTCAAAAGGAATAATTTTAAAGCTGCAAACTGGAGAGGATTCAGTTACTCTTTTCTCCCCTCCCCCACCCCTCCCGTCCAACTCCCCCCAGGGGTGGGCAGGAGGTTGGGGGAGGAGAGTTCAACACAGGCGGGCTCTCCCAGCCTTAAAAATCTGAAAAAGAAATGAGAGGGCGGCCCCAGTTTGACCCCTCCCAGGCAGACTACCGACCACCGCTCCCCCACCCAACCTTCCCGCGCCCACAAATGCTCAGACCTCAAGGGCCGCCTCCGCCCGTTTCCTCTAACCCCTCCTCCGAACTTAACCCGCCCGCCCCCTGGCCCCCCAGGCCTAGACTCTTCGTACCTTAAAGTAGATCTCGTCCACCACCTCGTGGTAGGTCTTGAGCTCGTAGAGCTGCACTTTGAAGTAAGGCGACGACAGGATATTGGTCAAGATCATGGGGTTGAGGTTCATAGTCTTCTCGTTGCCCCAGAGCGGCAGCACATTTCCCTGCTTGCCCGAGACCGCCGGCTTGGTGGCGCCGCCGCCGCCACCGCCGCACTGCTGCTGCTGCTGGGCCGCGGCCGCGGCCGCCTGGTGCTGCGGCTGCGAGTTGCCTGTCAGCGCGGGGCTGTTGTTAGCCATGTTGCGGCGGAAGGAAGGAGGGAGGGAGAAGGGAGGGGGAAGGGGCCAAGCTCGATCTCGCTCTTCGGGACAACGGTCCGGGACCCTACTCCATGGAACGCCGTCAGGAGAGGGGGGCCACCTCACTGTCCCCCAGCTGGATCAAGGAGGGCAACGGGGACGCCGACAAAAGGACCCTGGATCGAAAGCAAACGCCGAGACGCGGGCCGCGAAAACTCCCGGCAGAAGGCGAGCCGGCGGCCACGGAGCGCGATCTCTTCCGCCAACTGCCCCTGGGAACAAGATGGCGGGCCCGGCGGATGTGACGTCGCAAGCCCCAGAATTCCAAGCTGAGCCGGCAGCCAATCAGACACGCCTAGCAGGGCTGGAAATTCCTCTTCCTAGTTCCGCACGTTCTGTGCACGCTGCGGCCGCTGCGGTGGTTTCCAGTGTCCGACTCTTAGGAGGTTTCCCCTGGGAATTTGGGGGCAGCGGAAGGGGTTGAAGGCCCAATTCGTATGTTTTAGAATCTCGGTTGGGGGCCCAGTTTCTCCTCTTGAAAGCTGGGCAGGAGAGGGTTCGCATGGATATATGCTTGCGAATTCGTGACTCTGGCTTCTACGGAGTATCCTAGTCTCTTGGGTTCACAATTTTAAGAATCTCTGGAAGGGATGATGTTCGGGACTTCATTCCTCCATGTGATTCCGATGCAATAGTTACATCTTTCTATCTGCCGGCTGTAGTGTACGGCCGGAAGTTTTATTGTTTGAGCCCAAATTTATTCAGCTCTAAGATTGGAAAACATCGTTCTGGGCTGTTAAAACATCGGAGCATTAAAAGAACTACTATACCTATAGAGCCTAGTAGAATTCTACAAGCTTTTGTTTGGTGCCTTTCTTTCCTCCCTACTCGAGTTCATCCATTCTGCAGATGCATTCTGAGTGGTAAACACTGGGCGAGGCACTGAACGGGGGAGGAGGGAGGCAAGCGGGAGGAGGTGTAAAAATGAGTCAGAATCGGTCTCGTCACTCAGAAGCTATTGTTAACCTAGAGGAGATTCGTGGTATTTGGGAATTAAAAGAAGGCTGCAAGAAGCACTTAAGTTTATACAGATAACTGTCAGGCTGGGCAGTTTTATCAGCAGAGAACAGCCTGAGGATATGTAGAAGCAGGAAAGATCAGGCTTGTTAGACGGTAAATGGTCCAGTTAGACGGTAAATGGTCCAGTACAGGAGCCACGAAATGTGCTGATGGGGGAGTAATGGCTGGGGTGGAATTGGGCCACTGTTTAGTGCCTGGAATGCCAAGATGAAGCATAGGAATTTAATGACATTTAAATCTAAGGATTACGTAATTACACCTATGACCCCCAAATCTACTTATAGATACTATTATTCCTAATATTTTCTGGCTCCAATCCATTCTTTAGAGTACTGCCAGATTCTTCATTCCAAAAGTGTAACACTCCTACTCAAAACCTTGGATGGCTCACTTAGTGACATCCTAATTGCCATTGCCAAAATTCAGTGACCTTTTTCACTCTTCATCCTATTTGATTTCTGTGGCACTTTTTTTTTTTAAGTTTTATTTAAGTAATCTCTACACCTGGGTCTCAAACTCACCACCCAAGAAGAGCAAGAGTTGCATGCTCTTTGGCCTAAGCCAGCCAGGTGCCCCTGTGGCACTTTTTGTCATTTACTCTTTCCTAGAAACTATTGGGGTTGGAAGTTTGAAAGTGGAGATCTTAATTTTTAGTGGCTTATACACAGGAGGAGGGGAAAATCCACACCTGGATGAAGATGAAACAGCAGGAGAGAAAAGAACAGAAGTAGGAGGTAAACAGGGATACTGTGGTAAGACAGAATGCAAGATAAATGATAAATAAATGAATGGTTGGAGGGGTACTTGGGTGGCTCAGTTGGTTACGCCTTTGCCTTCTGTTCAGGTCAATGATCTCAGAGTCCTGGGATGGAGCCAGGTGTAGGGCTCCCTGCTCCCTCCCTCTGCCTCTGCCTCTGCCCCTCCCCCTGCTCAGGCTCTCCCTCTCTCCCAAATAGTTAAAATCTTTTTTTAAATAATAAGTAAATAAATGAATGGTTGGAATGACATTTAGAGTTAGATAGACAGTACATGAGTGATCATTCTTTCTAGTTTATTTTACATTAAAAACTGAAGCTTTGAGATAAGTGGTTTTCACTTCCTAGTAGATCTTGTTTTTCTATACATTAGAAGTACCAATGTACTTCCCAAGGAAAACTGATGATTCCAACCTCTAATGAATTACCAAGTTAAAAATACAATGAAAAAGAATTTTGAACCCTATTCTTCCTTTATTTTATGTGTATTTTTCTGTCTGCATAATAAGTTTATTGAGTTTACCTAGTGACACTCCAATTGCCAAATTCTATGATCTTTTAAAAATTCCTTACCACATGTGATCTGTGTAGTCTTAGATACTCATTTACCCCTAGACTCTGAGTGAAATGTGCTCAGTAGAGAGGTTGAGGTTTAATATCCAAGTCTCAAGAGCACCAAACTAAGGGAGTCCGGTATAAAGTGCTTAGCATAGTCAATGAATCCCTACAATGGCCTGAAGATATTATTATTATCCCCCATTAAAAATAAACATTATTGGTATTTAACTTAGGAACACTACACTGTATATAGATAAAGCTGGGAAATTTGGTTTGATCTGATTGACACTTGCACACCCATTGTCTTAGTCCATTCATGCTGTTATAACAAAATAACCACAACTGGGATAGCTTATAAATATCAGTAATTTATTTCTCACAGTTCTGAATGCTAAAGAGTCCAAGATCAAGGGACATGCTCTTCTTGAGTCATAGTTGGCACCTTCTAGATGCACTTACATGGATGAAAGGGTGGGGAACTTCCTGGGGTCTTTTTCATAAGAGCACTAATCCCATGTAAGAGGGCTCCACCCTCATGATTTAAACATCTGAAGGCCTCACCTCCTAACAGGGTCACTTTGGAGGTTAGAATTTCAACATACAAATTTTGCAGGGATACATTCAGACCACAGCACTCATTAAATCATCACCACAATCAAGATAACAGTCTTGCATCACCTCCAAAAGTTCTCCTGTGCCTTTTGCAATCCGCGTCTCCCTCCAACTCCATGCCCAGGCAGCCAATTTCTGTCAGTTTTCATTTTCTTGAATTTTAAATAAATGGAATCGTACACTTAGTTCCCTTTTTGCCTGGCTTCTTCAGCTCAGCATAAGCTTGAGATTTATTCTTACTGCTTTTATCAACAGGTTATGGGTTTTGTTTTGTCTTGTTTTTATTACTGAGTAGTATTCCATTGTGGGATTTCCTATAATTTGTTCAATCATCTGTTGATGGGCATTTGGGTATCTAATTTTGGGCTATTATAAATATAGCTGCTATCAACTCAGTCAGTTAAGCATCTGACTCTTGATTTTTGGCTTAGGTCAGGGATCTCTCATGGTGGGATTGAGCCCTGCCTCAGGCTCTGCACTCAGCACTCAGAGGAGTCAGCTTGTTCCTCCCTCTCCACCTCCCCCTGCATTTACTCTTTCTCTCTCTAAATAAATAAAACCTTTTAAAAAAATAAATATGTATCACTCGTGAATAAATGAGTAAAGAATTAAAATAACTGCCATGTGTAACTAAAATAAATGTTCTGGTGTTTTAAACATTTTACTATTTAGAACAACTGCAAATCTCGAGTAACATAAGAAGCCATTGACTGAAGTACCCAAGAACTGAAAATCTGATACAATGTATGCCCATTCAGGGGTGTTGTTGATATGAACAATCAAGGATGTTTATTGGTTATGATTTCAAAGCACTACTCAGAAGAGGTATGAGTTGAGATTTAAAAATTATTAGGGGTGCCTGGCTGGCTCAGTCCACAGAGCATATAACTCTTGAACTCGGGTTGTGAGTTTGGCCCCCTGTTGGGTATAGAGATTACCTAAAAAATTATTAGGAGTTAACTAGGCAAATACAAGGGAAAGGATATTCTAGTTAAGGCTAGCCTGTGCAAAGACTCTGAGGCGTGAAAGAACAAATGTATTTGGGGAACTATTTTTACTATTGCACTAAATTTTTTTTTCAAGGGTGATATGAAAAATTGGTACAGCCATACAAATGTATATGGCTGAATATTAATTCTGAATACACTGTAATTATCTGCTGGTTTGTCATCTTCAGCCACCAGAGGGAGGGTCTGTGCCTTTCAGTGAATCATTCCCAGCACTAGGCATAAGGATGGACACATAGTAGGTACTAAGTAAATATTAAAAGAAAACTTTCCCTGCTCGCTTTTGACACAATGTGTGGGTTCCCCCGCTAAACTCATAATGTGTGGGTTCCCTCCCCCGCGTCTGCCCCAACACATACACCAACCAATTTTCAAACTAGACACCAGCTGCGTGTTCTATAACTTAGTTTGATTCTGATAGTAACTACTCAGAGTTAGCACAGACTGCATAGTTAAGGGCTCAGTTCCCCAAGATTGCCCCAACTTCAGACACCAATTACAAATAGTGGGTCCCTTATTCCTACCATCTTCCAGAGTTCTCTACAGTGAGGGTTGTTACAGAATGTTTTTTTTCTTCTCTGTTCTTTATATAAATGCAAACTTTCTTCTCTTGATAGATTTTTTTTTTAAGGTAAAAACTTTTTTTTTTTTTTAAGATTTTATTTATTTGACAGAGAAATACACAGCCAGAGAGGGAACACAAGCAGGGGGAGTGGGAGAGGGAGAAGCAGGCCTCCCGCTGAGCAGGAGCCCGATGCGGGGCTCGATCCCAGGACCCCGGGATCATGACCTCAGCCGAAGGCAGATGTTTAATGACTGAGCCACCCAGGCGCCCCCTGGGTTTAAATTCTGTCTCCATTGTTTTGATTTAAACAAGTTATTTCACTTTTCTCTGCTTTCATTATCTCATCTGTTAGAATGGGGGATGTTATTATTACCTACTTCATCAGATTTTATGTGAATCAAATTTAGGATGTGTTAATGCTTAGAACAGGACTTAGCATATACTGTGACCTTAAGTGTTTTCCATTACTGTTTTCTAAATAGCACTTAACATTTTTATTAAATTCTAAATTCACCTTTAAAATGTTATTGCAGTCTTATTTTCTAAATCTAACTGTTAACTTTTTACTTCCCATTAGGAATCTAATTCTGATACAGTGTTTTGCCAGAGATAGTTCTGTGTGGCTGCCAACTGTAGAGCACAGCCAGGATTACAGATGGGATTGCTCTCCTCAGCAGATGGGTCATAAACTTGATACCAGATTTATTTTAAGCTGTTAACAAGAAATAAGGAATA